CTTTCTTGATCCACCTCTTCCTAACCAGCAGTGCCTTCTGCCGGGGCAGGCAGGGACTAGGGCTCAGGTCCTGAGTCTGCTTCCCTCATCCCTCTCTGCCAAAGAGAGTTTAAGGGATAAGGAATTGTGCAGGATTACTTTCTTGGTCTTCTCTGTTTCTACTCCTTGTGTTTTTTCTCTTTCTCACAGTAAAGATAAGGGCTTTTCAGACTGATCTGTTCCCCTCCTCTCGTTCGGGGTTTGAAGCCGAAAAACGTAACCCCCGAAGCCTGTCTGAAGTGTTCAGAGCATCCCGGCCCTGCCCAGTCCTCGGGCACCGGCTGGATATTTTGTAGCTGCCTGGTCGGGAAGTTTCCACAGAGGTGGAAGTGGGAGACCACGGGGCGGATGAAGATCAAATTTGGCTTTCTTCAGCTCTTCCCGTGCGCAGGAGCTGTGCCTTGTGCTGAGCACGGTTATAAAGTGGGCTGTGTCTTCGAAGCGATGTTAGAGATAGCGACAAGCATCTTGATGTTTAGGTAGATTACTACCGAGAAAACAAGGCTAAGGTAAAGCCGATGAGCAGCTGGGGCTGTTCCCACCCCGCAAAGGGATGTGCAGGCGGTTCATGCCGCAGGCCTCGGCAGCCCGGTGCGGGCAGAGGCCGGAGGGTCGGGGCTGCCCCAGGGCCGCCCACCCGAGCTGGGGCAGGCGGAGCTCTGGGCCCCGCATGGCGGAGCGGAAAGCAGGGGGACAGCTCAGGCCCTCACCCGGGGCACAGCCCCGACGTTCTTCCACGAGAGCCGGGTCGGGGGCCAGAGAAGTGCTTGTGGCTTGTCTTGACAACGTGTCACCTCTTCGGGGCCAGGGGCTGAGGACGAGGTCACGGACACACAGGAGCCATAGGGAAGTTCGTACTCGGGATCAAGCAGCCAGTTTGTTGGCCCTGCAGAAGCTGGTGCTGACACACTTGAGAGTTTGCCGAGAGCCCGGCGTGTCTGGTCAAGCGGGGCTCAGGCTGCTGCCAAGAAGCAGGAGACCTCGGTCACCTCTCGAGTGGCAGCAGCATGAGCTCGAGCTGCCAAAGGGCTGCACAGACAGGCGTTCAAGTTTTCAAAACATTGAGGGAGATGAGCGGAGCCCGTCCGGCTCTGGGCCCGCTTCCCTCCTCTTCCCCGTTTCTCCGCCTCCTCGCAGTCATGTGGCGGCCGCCGCCCGCTCCCCCCACGCACACAACCGGGGCTCACATCAACCTCACCTAACAGCCAGGGACACCGAGGGCCAGGTTCTCCCACCCTGCCTGGAAAAGGGGGTGAGAGACAGCCCTGAGGGGGGGGGCAGCTGAGAGCCATGAGAGTCTGGCAAGAAATCATCACATTTGAAATGAACTTAGGCCAAAATGGTTGTGACTTTTTTTTAATTGGCAAACTCTTCCAGGTGATTTCTCCCTTGACTGAGAAGTGTCAGAATTGATGGATAACAAGTATGTAGAAATGCAGTGTTTTAAGGAGGTATGAGGAAAGCAGCTTTATTTGGGATTCACAGTCTCAGTACATTTGTAAGTAACAGATTCATACTTCCTAACGTTTGTCTCTTCTGTGCACTCCTATTGAGATGGTCATGAATAGGACTGTCAAATCCATTTCGTAGAGCAAGTAGACTTGAAAGTTGAGATATTGTGAGGATGGTGTGTGGTTTAAAATGCCTGCGTAAACATGTTATGTAAGGTTGGGGAGCTAATTGCATCATTTGTCACTTTTTATCATCTCCACTCAGAAAGATGTGTGCAAGGATGTATCTATAGCTAGCTACCTGAATATCAGCCTAGTTTTACAGCGCAAGTATGGTAAATGCAAGCAGAGACAAAATACGTAATTGCAGCCAACCCAGAATATGTGAAGCTGTGACAAAGATGTCTCCTATGTGGTTATGTATGTCCAAACTTTAATTTTATGGTTTCCAATCATTGCCTTGCAGCTTCAGTTATGAAAGTAGCTGGGTTGACATTGCCAAGTAGTTTCTTGTTTTACTACTTCACATAAAGCCTATTGATCAACAGCATTTAAATTCTTATGGAAATGCAAAATTCTATGCTGAGTGCTTTACCTGACATGCATCTGATAAAGAACCCACTAGCAAGTTAACAGCGAGTCTATGTATTAAAATGATGAGAGTTTGACAGGAGGGGTAGAGAATTAATCATTGCTATATTTCATAAGACTGTGAGGTTATTGGTGGAGCTGTTTTTGTGTCAGGATCCAAGTACTGTGGTAATACAGTGGGTAGATATTTAAAGATGTGTTTTTCTTTCATGGAGCAGAAGAATCTTTTTGCATGTTTCATTAACTTCATAATCCCCTTCTTAAAAACTTAAGCAGATGCTTCCTCCTATGCTGAAGCCCTAAGCTTTTCTAAACCTCTAAGGCCTCAGTGTGTCCAGCTAAAACCCAAGCCTACACTTCCACTACTAGCGCGCAAACCCTGCAGATCATGTTATTTCCTTCAGGTGAGAATCATCAGAACCGAGTCCACTATGAATGTTTGGCAATGCTTTTCCTTCAAGCCAAGGACGGGGATTTTACGTGGAACTACCCTGTAAGTGTGCGTGAGAGAAAGTGAGAGAGGGAAAGGGAGAGACTCCCTCTTCTGGGTTAAACATTCAGATTCAGCCTGAACACCACGATTTCTCGCATTGCTCCGGCGGCAGTAATCAGATAACTGCTAAAACTTCTCAGAGGGGGAAGGGAGCGGGAGTGTCTCAGGGATCCTTTGTCCGGGCTCAGGCAGCGGGGCGGTAGCCCGAACCCCGGGTCGATGGCCCGTGTCCCGGGCCGAGCCCGCCTGGCCAGCGAGCGGCCGGTGAGGCTCCGGCCGCAGCTCCTGCCGGGCAAGGACTATCTCCCCGCGCTGGCAACAAGTGCCGAGGAGCCGGCAGGACCGGCCCCGGCACCGCCCCGGCTGCCGCGGCTCTGGCCGGGCGGCGGGACCGGCGGGGCTGCCAGGGTTCTCCCGGGGGCGAGCCCCGCGGCCGCCCTTGTCTCAGGACAGGGCAGCGGGAACGGACAGAGGCGAGGGGGAGGCCGGGACGATGCCCTCCACTCCCGTCGAGGCTTTTTTTCCCCGGCGGCAGCCCGGCAGTGCCCGGCCCGGGGCGGAGACCCGCGGGCGGAGACCCCCGGGCGGAGACCCCCGGGCGGAGACCCCCGGGCGGAGACCCCCAGGCCGGGCGGAGACCCCCGGGTCGGGCCGGGCCGGGGATGGGGCGCCGGCGGAAGGGTTGGCGCGGCGGCGCATGCGCAGCCCGGCCCCGCGCGCCCCCCTCACGGCACCGGCGATCTCCCTTTCAGGCGGCGGCGGGACCTGTCACGGTGACGTCACCGCGGCGGCAGCCAATGGGCGGGCGCGGCGATTGTGTGGCCGGCGGGGCAGCGGCGCGGCGGGAGCGGGGCCCGGCCGGTCCCGCCGCGCCGTGAGGGCCGCCCCGGCCCCGGGCAGGACGGGCGCGCCGAGGGACCTCCCCGGCCGCCGCCAAAGCCTCCCGCCGGCCCCCCGAGCCCACCCGCTGGCACAGCCACCCGTGCGTCCCGCGCCAGGGCAGCGGCACCGGGAAACTTTTTTATTTCGGGAGAACGGAGAAAAAAAAAAAAAAAAAAGAAAAAAAAAAAAAGAAAGTTGTTTCCCCCGCTCCCCCCCTCCCACCCCGCTGCCCTGTGTATCTCTCCTCCCGCTGTCAGGTGACTTTTTAGCGTTAGAAGCTAATGAGCGTGGATGCTCTGGGGATCCCGGTGATGGACCCCGCTGCTCTCTCCAGGCGGAACACGGCGCTGAGATTAGTAGCCTTGGCGGGGGCTCCTCGCCACCATCAGCACCCCCCTCAGAGCATGACAGGCTTCCCGGGTGTCGCCGGGCACCCCCACACCACGGCGCCCACGCAGCCGGGGGAACACGCCGCCGAGTCCCGCCTCGGGCCGCAGCAGCTCCGGCCAGAACACATGGGGCACCGCCACCGTCCTCCTCCTCATCCTCCTCCTCAGCATCACCCCGCGGCCCTTAAGATCAGCCCTGCCCCTCATCCCCACCACCAGCTCCACCACCACCATCATCATCATCATCATCATCATCATCATATGGCAGGCCAAGCCGAGGTGGTCTCTAGTCAAACGGCAGCGTTTGGCCCGGCGCAGTCACCAGCAGCCCCTTACCCCGTCTCTCACCCAGCCCAGGCTCTGGCAGCAGGTAGGGACTTCTTCATCCGCAGAGACCTGCCGGCCCCACTCATGCCAGGGCTGACCGAGCAGCACCCCGCTGCAAGTTCTCACCACGGACTGTTTGTCTCAACAACAGGTAGCTACCCCGGACACCATGGTCACCACCACCACCACTCAGAAGCTGGGAATCCCTCTCTGTTCACTGGACTCCATGAGCAGCCTCCCCATGCAGCTCCAGGTGGCCATCTAAACGGACAGCTCAGACTGGGGTTACCTGGAGAAATGTACGCCAGGTCTGAACATTTCACTCAAGTACCAGCCTCCAGGACAGATCATTTTGCTGCTTCTTCGCTTCATAGCTACGGTGGTATGAATCTGAATGTGAACCTGGCTCCACACCACGGCCCGGGTGCCTTCTTTCGTTACATGAGGCAGCCCATCAAACAGGAACTCATCTGTAAGTGGATTGAGTTGGACCAGACTCCCAAAAAATTATGCTCGAAAACTTTCAGCACGATGCACGAGCTGGTGACTCATGTCACGGTGGAGCACGTTGGAGGACCCGAGCAGTCCAATCACATATGTTTCTGGGAAGAGTGTCCAAGAGAAGGGAAACCTTTCAAGGCCAAATATAAACTTGTAAATCACATCAGAGTCCACACAGGTGAAAAACCTTTCCCCTGCCCTTTCCCAGGCTGTGGCAAAGTGTTTGCCAGATCAGAGAATCTCAAAATACACAAAAGAACTCATACAGGTCAGTATGTAAAGCTCTCTTTACTCTTTTTCTCTCTGTTATTCTGCGTACTGAATTGCTTTTTTTTTTTTTTTTTTTTTTTTTTAATGTATCCTTTGAGTTGTTATTGAATGCACGCCAAGTACTTCTGGAAAATAAATTCTCAGATTTGTTTGCTTCTTTACCATTTGGAGAAGGGGGAGGAAAGGGGGGAGGGAAAGGGAGAGTGAGAGCAAATCTCAGAATTCTCGTCCATATTTTTTTCTGGTTGTGTGGAGAGGTTGCTGTAATATTTATATGTGTAGATCTGTGTAAATATCGAACGATATAGCTACTATTTCTGCTTATTCAAATAGGCGAGGATTTTTTATTTTCGATTTAAAGTAGTCGGGGGAAAAAATTAAATCATTGTGCAAGCTCACAAATTAAAAGTGAACAATGGAAGTTGCAACTTGTCTAGTCAGTTTTGACTGATGTCGCTGAGATGCTGCTGCTCGAACATTGTGAGAATAACACAGCTGCGACCTTTTCGTTCAACAGTTCTGTTTTGGGCAGAGGGAGTTTCAAATGTTTGATCTAAATAACACTGACATTTTTAATGAGCATTGCCTTCCAACGACTTTCTGCATTCGCAAATATGGGGAGCTGCGATTTCTGATTCTCGTGAGGGAAAAAAAAAAAAAAGAAAAAGAAAAGAAAGAAAAGAAACCCTTGTATTGTTTCGGCCTGTACATTCTGAAATGTCATTTGCAGATCTGTTAAGTGAAATTGGGACATGTGTCAGAAACATCTGTTAGTTCTAGTTAACAGAAAATAAAGTAACACGATGGACGATCTTGCAGAACTACGTTTGAACTCTTCCGGCCAGAAAAGCATTTATAATTAATGAAATTGCACGTAGAAAGTTTTCACACTTCCAGGAGCAGCTTGTGAAGTTGTATTAATTAGTTTAGCAGCCGGTGTTTGTAGTCCATAGCGCTGGCTTGTCTTTTTTTTTTTTTTTCCTTTTTTTTTTTTTCCTTTTTTTTTTTCCCTCTAAAGAAGAAGATAAGAAATAAGCCCTTTTTGGAAAATTTAATCTGTTCCAGTGTAGGGTTTTCCACCTCCCACCCCCTTCTGTACAGCCTTATGCACTGCGAGGGAAACTACATAATCCTATTGTAAGATCTGCTTACAGCCAAACGATTTTTTTCGCCTTCCAGTTCATAAAACTCCCCTTCCCCCATGCTCGGTGCAGGGCTTGACCTTCCAGGAGTTGCATTTTTTATGATAGAGCGCGACGTGATATAATATGCAGAACATACACTAATTTCGTATCGCTATCATCTAAACATAGCACTGAGATTTTACAGCGACCGTCACTCGTCACCTCATTATTTTTCCATCGCTCTATGAGGAGTAAGTCTGTGTGCGGGGCGGGGAGTGGGGGGGAGGAGGTGGACGACAGCACAGTTGTGTTCCTCGGCTGCCTTCTTGGCCCCCTTTTTCCTCGAAAAAGGGGTATCCCCGGGTCACGTAACTTGTATCCCAGCCAGCTCCTTGTTGGATCAGCACAGGTACAGCCATTAACCGGGAGAGCTCATCTCTTAATGACAGTGTTTTTCTTAAGTAAACAAACTTTTACTGCTCTTTAACGGCCTCACTGTTTGAAGTCTCTGAAGCAGAAAATGGTTAAATTCTTGGGAAAACTGACCTACATCGGAGATGCAGGTTCAGGGCAAACTCGAGAGCGGAGATTTGCGTTTATTAAACACCATTCGGCGCGTCTGTACTTTTGGCTTTAACTTTCTCGGTGATTAATTGCTGTATTGTGCAAACTCCTGCAGGGCCTTTATGGTTCCACCGTTTCTATTAAACACCCAGAAGTTGTCAAAAACGCAATGTTTCTGAAACCCTAATAGAACTCACTACGAATTATTCATGAAGACAGTTCTAGATTCAACAGGAAAATTATTGCCTCCTTAAATATTAATAGCTTCTGATTTCTCCGAGGCTGGGGAGCAGGCAGAGGGATATCTGGCGATGTACGAGTTTTCCAGGTTGGAGGATAAGGCCGTTAAGGCGGCTGCAACGGGACGAGCAGGACGGGCTGGGATCACTTCACCGCCTTCCCTGAGGGCCAGGAACAATAGTGCGAGGCGTGGGTCGCAGCCCCGCTCCCTCCCTGCGGCCCCGCCGCCCCCGCGCCTCGCCCGCAGCCCGGGAGCCGCCAGCTCCGACTTCCCCCCACCGCCACTCACCCGGAGAAGTTGGTAAATACCTTAATCCACTCCCGGAGACGGGGGATTATGCCACAGATTCCGAGCTGAGTTTCACTGAACACTTTTGCCCAGCTACAAGTGTGGGGTAAAATGGCGGTTGAGTCTCCATCGCCCGCGGAACTTTGTGCGTGGCTGCGGCTCCGTGCCCGGGCTGCGGCAGCCGGGACCGGCGCAGTGTCCTCTCCCTGCCGGGCAGGGATTGCCGCCTAGGAAAACCTGCTCTCGCCAAAGGAATACTTGCAAATGGCTCGGATGGCTCCCCTTTATTGAGGCGTTCAGGGAATGCAACCCGGGCAGCTGAGAAAATGCTGCCCTCTTCCCACTTGAAACCCGGCTGCACGGACGGACCTTTCAGTGGCTCTTTCAGGGGGTTAAGCGAAGTTGAACATTTTTCAACTCGGCAAAGCGCAGTGCGGCGCAGCCCGCTTTTACCTGAATGGAACTCACTTTGCACAAGCAGAGTGCTTATGAGGATGGCTTCCCCTGGGGTCTCCTAACTTACTGCTTGCTTGTACTGCACTAATATCCTTGATTTGTCGTCTCAACTTAGATGCTGAAGGTCAAATTATTTCCTTACGTGGAACTCTAATTAGATTATAGGCGGGCGTGCGTCTATGCATATGCACCGCTGTATGTCGACGGTATTTGGTTACAGAATCCGCACCGTTTTGTGAGAGACCTTATTTTTAACCTCTTCCCTCCCTTCCCTCCAACGCCAGATATTTACCCATCCTCTGTGCAAATGTTAGCGGTGCAGGATGTCAGTGCTCCTCATTGACTATTACAGTGCGAAAAGGGCATCCTTTAAACGCGGAGCCATGAGCCTTTCCCACCCACCTTGCATAAAGTGCATTCATGTGAAATATTTGGAATGCCTTCCTTTATTTGCCTCTTCTTGCAGCCGAGCCCGATGTAGACTCAGTCTCTCCTAAATTTAATCATGACGAATTGAGAGGGAAAAAAAATAAAAACAACAACCAGAAACGCACAACCCAAGAAATAAAATTAAAAAAAAAAAACAAAACAAACACACAAAACCAAATATTGGAAGTCCTTTCGGCTACATACGCCATGATGGTGAACACTTTGCTTTGTTTGCACTTGCTTTGTTTGCACTTCACGTTAAGGTTAGGCCATGTATTTTTGTGGAGTCCTCTCTGCCCTGATACTTTTTGACTTTTGATGGATGAGGAGGATATTTTCATAATAGGTTGGTACAGGACTGGGTACCTCTTGGCAAGCAGGGTTTTGCAGTTTGCTATTGTCAGCGACAATAATGCCGTCAGCATTTCATCCTGCATTTGGCTGTGGCGTGTTTCCTAGAAAACCTCTTGTATATCGTCCTACCATGCCAGGTCCACACGATTCAAGGTTATACTTTCGCACGACTCCAGCAACACCATTGTATTTCTATTATGCATAACATCACTTATTATCTGATCAGACAATTTAATTTGATTGCAATTCCTTCAGTGGCTGTGTAGGTTGAAATGAAAAGGGAATCCTACCCTCGCGACAGTGCTGTGCGCTGGCCTAGTCCTCCTTCTGCTGAATCTTTATCGTTTTTCCCCCACAATCAGTGTCTTTCTGAAATATTTCATACTTTAGCACACGGTATCAGCAAGCTGGGGAGCAGGGGAAGGAAGGGGATGTGGATCTTCCATGGCATTGTAATCAGTACAAGTATGAAGTGGATGAAATATGATCTAGCCAGGTTATGGAAAATATTTCCACGTGCCTGGGGGACTGTGAGAAATGTATTTAATGTAAAAGTCTTCGAAGGGATAAATCACTGACCGCTCTTTCTGCAGGACTTCGGAGTCTGCGGGGACAGCACAAGTGTGCTCGGAACGAGCGGTTCTCCTCTAAGTTTTCCTTGTTTCGGAGCTTTGTCTTTTGCACAAACCCTTACGATGACGCACACACAGGCCAGGGGAAAGAGGAGAAGCTGGCAGGGCGCTCCGCGTGCGGAGCCGGCCACGCATCCGGGTGGGCACGGAGCGGCGGCTCCGGGGGATGCTCGGCGGGGCCCGCGGGGAAGGGCAGAGCTAGTGAGAGGAGATTCCGCGGGGAGAGGAGCCGTGGCAGGGCCGGAGAGAGGGGTCCGGGAGGGCTGTGGGCTGTGGGGGTGAGGGATGCGCTGCTCCCGGCCCCGCCGCCGCCGCTAATGGCTGTGCTCGCCCATTGCCTCCTGCAGGGGAGAAGCCGTTCAAATGTGAATTCGAGGGCTGTGACAGGCGCTTCGCCAACAGCAGCGACAGGAAGAAGCACTCGCACGTCCACACCAGCGACAAGCCCTACAACTGCAAAGTGAGAGGCTGCGACAAGTCCTACACTCACCCCAGCTCCCTGAGAAAACACATGAAAGTGCACTGCAAATCCCCTCCTCCCAGCTCCGGCTACGAGTCCTCCACGCCCTCCTTGGTGTCCCCCTCCTCGGACTCCGGCCGGGAGCCCCCCGCCTCCTGCTCCCACGCTGAGCCCTCCGCGCCCGCGCAGCCCGCCGCCAACCTGAGCGAATGGTACGTGTGTCAAGGCTCGGGGCCCCGCGGCCCCCCCGGGCCCCCGGGCGCCTCCCCGCCGCCGCGCCTCCCCGCCGGGCCCCGGCCCCGCTGCTAGGGGCGCCGGGGGCGGCGGCGGGCGGCCCGGCCCGGCCGGCACAGGGAGCGTCGCGCCGGGCACGGGGAAGCCGAGCGGGAGCGGCAGCAGAGGCGCTTGGCGGAGGGAGAGAGGCTGCGGAGCGCGGGTGGGCCCTGCCTGCGCCCCCGGCACCGCGCACACGGGAGGGCTGCGCTCGCCTCGGCCGCGGCGCTGCCGCCTCCTCCCGCCGTGCCACACACCCCCAGTCTGACCGCCTCGCTCCAGTCTGTTTACACGCCAACTGATTTGCATTCCCTTTCCTTATCCCTGTCCTTTTCCCTTCCCTTCCTTTCCCTTTCCCTTCCCCTTCCTCTTCCCGTTTTCCTTTCCCCTTCCCTTCAGTGGTTTCATACAGATTTTCTCTGTACAGATTTTCTCTTGTCAACAGTATTGTGTGCTGCACTGTTCCGTTCGCCCACGATTTTCTGTGAGAGTGTGTTTTTTTAAGAAATATATATATATATATATATATAAACTATTATTTGTTACCAATTTGTACAAAATGGATCCATTAAATTTTTTGATTAATTAACCCGTTCGATGGACGTTTCTGTAAAGAATCTCCTTACTTTTCCCTCTTTCTGTATATAAATACATATATATATATTTCCTCCCCCACCCAGTAGTCGCTAATAAAGAAAGGCCCAGGGGGGTGCGATGATTGACTGTCCATTTTAGCTCCCACTGGTAATGACTTCTAATACCTAAACATGCCCGTCCCCACCCAGAGTGCGGCTCCTGTTGAACCGTGGGCGCTGAAGCTCCCGGGGGCGGCGGTTCTGACGGGGTGGGGGGAGACCATTCTCCGACGTCACTGCCAGGGCGGGGGCCGGGCAGCCCCCGGCAGCGCGGGGACCGGGGCCGCTGCTCCGCGGCTCTGCCCTGCGAGCAGCCCCGAGGAGAAATGAACCGCTCCCACCACGCGGCTTTAGCATCTCCATGCTGTCCCAGAGTCTCAAACCTACAGGGTTCATTGCACTGGTTCAGAGAAAGGGGGGAGGGGGAATAAAAAAAACAAACAGCCCCCAAAATAAATAAACAAACATCTCCACTGGGGTAGCTTGAAACTACCGAATGGTGCCGTTTTAATTACTTTAATTACGTTTAAGAATACCAGATAGTATAGGCAAATAAATAGCATAGGCTGCTGGAAAGGGTTTCTATGGCTTGCGGAGAGCAGACAGAAGGCTGCTGTAACCACATCCTCTGGTGTTTGACAGATCACCTCCGCACCCAGGTGACTGGGGTTACTGTGGGTGTACAACTGTACACGCACGCACATACACACGCGTATGCTGATACCGAGAAATACAAAAACGACAGGAAAATAAATAGCTGGTCAGTGATTAAAAACACTCCAATGCCCAGTGCTTTCCTTACACACCCGTATTTTTCCCCCAAGGCACCAAGTCGGCGTTCCTTTCTTCATTCGCCCAAACCCAACAACTTTTGTGTTTAAACAGCACGGATGGTGACAACAGCATGTCGCTAACGGGAATACACTTAGGGAATCAGCTAGGTGAGAGCAATGTGTGAAAAAGGAATCTAAACAGGGGAGAGTTGTGCCCCTATCCAGCCCCCGAAACTTGTGTCATGGAAATCGAGAAGTGTAGAAGCCAGATGCGGGTAGGGAGGATGTTTCCATCATGTCCCGAGATCTGTTTATTTCTTTATTTCTCTATTTACAGAAGTATTTGGATGTGGAGGCTAATCACCTTTAATTTTTCATTTGCTTGTTACAGATGTCTACCCCGTTGCTCTCAAGGTAATCTAGACAGACGCAGCTGAAAGCCTGAATCTTATGCCTTAGACATCAAAGCAAGCTCGCACAAAGAAGTATTTCTTCACAACGGTGAATCTTCATGGTAAGTTAGGATTTCTATGGCAATAGGCAAGTCATACTTAAATAGTGAAAGGCGAAGTCTGGAGCCCGTCCAGTCTTTTCATTAAGGACATAATATTTACGTCTAACAGGCCCTTTTTCTTGTGTATACAAGTATATATTTTTGTTTGACGCGAACTAAATCATTTTCATTTAATTTCCGGTAAACAAAACCCACGCGAACAGGGCACTTGTTCCAGACCATAATAAAAATGGATAAGACTGTCAGGAAGAAAAGGCCCGCTTGAACCGTCGCCTCAGCTCACTTTTGTTTCTGCTTTCTGCCAGGATCAGAGAATGCATTTGGGATTTGAGGGCGAGTTTCTAAAGGCAAGGAAATGGTTTTTAAGGGGGGAAAGAAAAGGAGAAAGGTCTAATCAAGCTCGGGTTGTTCAAAGGGCCTGATTTTGGGGTTGAAAGTGTGAGTTTTATGGTGCATCAGCATGCCACGTTAGGATCGCTATGGTAATGAGGAGAGCAATAGCAAGCGGCCTTCAAAGGAGGCACACTCCATTTGAGACAGTCTATTAAGATACATTTGCACTGACCTTTGGTTTCATGCTAGCTTAATACACTCAATCTGCTCCCCGCTAGAGATAGACTTCCTCCACCTAATGCACTTCGGCGGAGCTGGGTTCTGCTGGGCTTCGCCCGCCCCCCGAGACGCGCTCCGTTCCGACGCTGGAGCCCCGGTCTCCTTCTCCCCAAAGTAAAGCACTGCCAGCCCCCCAAGCTCGGCGGGAGCTCCCGCCCGCTGTCCCCAGCCTTTCTGACCAGCTTCTAGCAGCAAAAACTGGCCACAAAGCCTGAGGTTTCCTTCCCTTCCTCCCCACCAAACGTGGGAGAGGAAGGTAGGATGGGGACTGGAAGATCCCCTCCTTGGGCTGCCGCTGTCTCAGGGAGTAGGTGTCCCGCTGGAGGTCCCCCAGGAGCTGGAAAGCGGGGTGAGCTCCGAGGGCAGACAGCCGCACCCCCTCTCACCCTGCCCGGTTCCGCTGTCGCTGCGGGGCAGCGAGCGGAGGCTCCGTGGTGCGGGGGAACTTGACACCCGCATGGCCGGGGCCATGGGCGCTGGGCCATGGGCCCGGGAAAGTTAGAAGTCCATGTTCCAGTAATTGTCTTGTTGTTTATTTTATCCAAGTACCCTAGTGAATAGGGGAAAAATAAACACGGGGAAAAAAAATTCAAACAGTTGAGTCGTCTTTAGTGCCAGCCCTTGTGGTTGAATAAAAAGGATGGTCCAATTTCTATTGAGCTGAGAAATCTTTGAAGTGGGAGTTATTATCTGAGAAATTCCTGCTCGTCGTCCTAACAACGCTGATGAAACGTAAAAGGTTCTTTGTCAGCGATTTGTTCTCCTCTCTGTCAAACTCACCCTGCCCGTTAGCTTTAAACCGTTTCTAAAGAGATAAAATCAAACTTTTAAAGATAACTTTAGGGGCCCAGAGGGCGCAGAAAATGCCAAACTATCGGATCCTGTGTATAGACATACATCTGGATATATGTGGCTGTGTCTGCGTGAAACTCTGACTGTGTACAGATGTCCATAGATGTCTGTATGACCTTACAGTTCGAAAGTTGAAATTATGTCCATTGTTTTTGCATTTCATCCTCCAAACTTTTCCGTCTAATAAATTATTCCTACGCACACTCTGCACGGAATGCAACTCTTGGGCGAAGGCAGAAATTTTGGGTTTCATTAACACCACTTTGTGACCAACAAATGTTTTCTCTCCAGTAGAGTGAAAGCAAGAGTGTAGACATAGAGTAAATTCTTTGATCATTTAACAGTCCGAATACCTACCAAGCATGTATATACTGCAATGTATCGAAGTTGTTAACGCATTCAAAGTGATGGCTTCCATATGCTCTCATGTTTTACTGTCCGTACGTGTAAGGATAGTCAAACTGCATCCCTTTTGTATCTTCATTTTATAAACATAATGGTGTTGTACTGAAATGATTCCCTGATCAAGTTTTATTTAGTAGTTTCTCATTGGATATCATGCAATGCCCTGTTCGGAATATGAATTCCTTGAAGTTGTAACTCATCAGTGTACTTCTGTTTTAGTTGTTAAAGAATTATCTGAGCCGAGTCCTGCCATTCTAAGCCAAACCATTAATTTAATGGGACCTTTTCTGAGTAAAGACAGAGTCAAATTAGAGTGGAGTGGGTATTACTATTATTATTGTTATTACTTTTTGGTCTTGTCATATTTATGGGAAAATCTAGCACATTCTTTGTGACCCATACAGAGAAGAAACCTCTGAAAAATGTAGCTTTCAGAAAAACATTTACAATGTTGGTATATTGTATCTCTTTCCAGACTTCTTATATTCCTTATTTTTCTTTATCACATGTTTGGCAATGAAGGAATGTTCTGTTGTGTGCTTGAATATACTATTTATTTTTAATACTTGGATTTTTTTTACAATAAATATTTATAAGCGTTTCATTTCTATGGTTATTTTTACAGATGTGCATTTTTAAATTATGTGTTTGTACTGATGATACCGAGCCATTCCTAAAACACTGTGTAATCAACCTTCTTTTTCTGTTGGTTTTTATATTAGTTGAAAAAAAAAAAAAAAAGCCCAAACCTGTGTGCTATTAATGTGGTGTACAATCAAGTATTAATGAGTGGTTTTTTTTGTTGGTCTTTAACCTTTTTTAATGTTAATCGTTTTAGGTTGGCATTTCCATTAAAAGAACAGAACAAAACAAACCCCTTCTTTGGCTTCATTTCTGCGACAACATTTTTCAGATC